GATATACAAATTGCTCTCACGCTGGCAAGAAATCATTAATAATAATGGCAATTATATTATTTAATAAAGTTTATTGACGGTAAGAAAAATTTGTATTTTGTTTTATTCCAAAAACGGACAGAACTTTCCGGTAGACCTAATATTTAAAGCACATTCACGCACAACATCCTGCGAACGGGATTTCTTCATGTGTCCCTATATTCATATATTATTAGTTTAATAAGACTTATAGAGCCTGAGAGTAATCTCGATTTATCACTAATTGTTTACTTACCAAGATTTTCAAGGATAAAAATTGGTTAGAGTTAACCGTTTTGATTGTGACGAGTCGTATTTGTCTACGAATTACGTCACTAGTGTTTGCTAGATTTATAAATGATATTATACTCGTTACAGATAAATATATATAATACATTTTTCTTATATATATATCTTCTCTATGTATGTATGTGTATATATATAAAATACATTATATATATATAACATACGCGCGCGTGATTATATTTGGACAACACCGGAACGAAAGCATACTTGTCTCGGAACGACATGTCTCGGTCGCGGAATCCAGGCCTTGTCCAGATCTTGTCGTCTCTTCCATTCGGACTCAAAAGCATCTCTCGTCCAGCTTTCTCTATCCCGCCCTCACGATCCTCTTTTATCTTTCTCTTCGTTCTTACTAAATCCTCGTCATCCACCTCGTCTCGTCTCTCGAAACACAGTCGTTTTTTGCAAACGTCGCCGAGCCCTCCTTAATCAAACTGTGCCCACCTTCGTCGTTTATTCTGTCATATCACGCGTCCATCTATCTTTGGAGAAAACGCTTTGAAATAATCATATATAAAATTAAGGTATTGCGCAATAATTTTAAAATTTTTTTATATATATACAAATTAACAATTTTTTGGAAAATTTTTATAGAGAACAATATGATCGTTTTTTTTTTAGCAAAACAAAAATTATATAACAAAGCGCTCTGAAACCTCTGCACGTGATGAAAATTTATTGTTTATTGGTGATATTTATATTCTCGGTCCCGAGATCGAGAACCGCATTTTTCCGTCGTTGCGTTCCACCGCCGCCACGTCGATTGATCACAATGAGCGTATTGTTACATGAATAAATAGCCCGCGGGAGCCTGAGAATGTTTTCTCGCGGTGGGACTACTGCGCGCCAGAGAGAGAGCTCGAGGGAGCCAGGTACAATAATTCGAAGACGAATGAGCGAGCGGGAATATTTCCGGTGGTGGCGGCGGTGTTTACTCAAGAATGACGTCGAGTGCGCGCGCGCGGATTCGAGCCGATTTTATTCCCCAAGTGTTTATTTTAAGATCGCACGTAAGCGGCTTCCGGGTCTATTAAGAGGCACATGTGCGGCTCTCTCTCTCTCTATCTCTCTCTCGACACACGACGTGCGTTAAAATCTTTTCTACCGTCTTTACGAGGGATGAAAGGCGAGCGGGAACGGCTCGAAATGAAAGCAACTCACTGTGTCTTTTGAAGCAGCCTTAAAGGACGTAGTTCGCGCAGGAGAATTCCTGGAAGGGAAGTGCGCAAACAGTTAATCTTTTTAGCGTCTAAACGTTAGACAAGACGCGGATTTTCACGGAACTGTAAGGAATAACGTGTCGCTTTGCACGCTGCAATTGCAAAGAAGAAAAGTTGGAAAAATTTATCTTTCTTGTCAATAATTAATTTTATCGTGGCAAAACATTAATGAGAAATATCGTTTTTTTTTGTTGCAGGTCACCGACACCAATGACAACGCGCCAACTTTCCAGAGCACGGCCTACTCGTTCGACGTGCCGGAGAACGTGCCGAGGGGTAGCCGCGTCGGTCAAGTCGTCGCGACGGACGCCGACGCCGAAGGTCCCAATAGCCAGTTGAGTTACGTGCTCATTTCGGATTGGGCAAACGACGTTTTCTCGCTGAATCCGAACACCGGTCTGTTCACGCTTACCGCGAGTCTCGATTACGAACAGGTTGGTACCGGGGAGAAAGTACGTACTTGGTTAAGTTATCCAGCGATCCCCTTCTTTTTGCGCACCGCGAGATGACTCGTATTTTTCTTTTATTTATTTTATTCTACATCAAAAAAAAAAAAAAAAAAAACATGCCTATCTAATTAAATAATCGCAATCACACAGTCCAGGATATGTAAAGGCGAACTGGACCAACAATAATAATGTTGAATAAAATTCCGAGGCCATGTGTGTTTACATTATCACTATAGATATGTCTGTCATAACGGATTCTAGACGCGAGAGAAGGGTTTATAGAGGCCCGTCGAGATAAAGTTTCCGCTTAGATCAGTCGGAACTAAGAGACGCGCGCACATAACGCTAAAAAGCGTCGGTTGCCCGGGGCAGCGATTATAACCACGAACACGCCTCTACATTCAAACATCCGAGCGCACCTATTATATTACCCGGTGCGGAGAGGCAACGCTAGAATTTAGGGTTTAACGCTATAACAGTCGGACAGATCGATGAACACAGACAGTCTTTAATGGTGGTCTCTCCGGTGCTACATTTCGGAGACAAGCCATACTTAGCCCATACTTTTTTGGCTACGTACGGTTTATGGAGCCGCACTTATACACCCAATAGCGTAACCGAGATTTTGTGAAATAAAAAAAAAAAAAAAAAACGCAATATTTACTGAAATAAGCTAAAAAAGATTATTGAAAAAAATCAGGAACTTAAATGGGACATGGGTTGACCGCACTGTGTGACATTTCTTTCGATTTAGTTCGTTTAGTAGCACCGGTATTTTTTTTTTTTTTTTTTTGGTTTTCAAGTTTGCATTAATCTTTGATTCTACGCAATATGTCAAATAGTAAAATTTTATATTAATTACTAGAGCAACGATATATATTATTGCAATAATGTGTGATTGACTTGTATTTCTGTTTTAAATGTTGGCGCTACGCCACTGTTTTACGCTGAACACTACACTACGTGTGTAAGAACCGAACGAGCAAGATGCCATGTTGGTGTGTTATTTCTATCAAGAAAGAGAAGCGCAGGGGAAAACAACGTAAGCGAGAGGAATGGAATAAGGGTGGCTTATAGAACCCTTCATCAACGTAATGCCCTTTCAGATACACGCCAACGTCATTACGGGGGCCGTGAAATGCGCGCATATGATGCATGTTGCGAAACGCATTGGAAACAAAGAAATAGCATGTTATCGGCTGCCCCGAAACTGACATTTTAATTCTTAAAAAACTTGTTAAACGCGTCTCAAAAAGAGGATCCGATTACTCGCCGACTACTTGCGATAGGATCAAAAATACTTTTGCAAAAAATCAAATCGCACATATCTAATACTTGACTTTTTAAAAAAATTTTTGAGTTATCACCTGTACAACCTAATAAATTGACTGTATAAACTCATAGAACAATTAAATACGTTATATAATTGTTGTCTCATAGTAACCGCAATATTTTCTTTTTGTATCTATAAGGTGCGTTATTATCTTTCTCTCTTGTTCCTTGTTATCTGTAGGTGCAACACTACATTCTTGTTGTACAAGCCACGGACGGTGGCGTGCCGGCATTGTCGTCCACGGTGACGGTCTACTGTAACGTCGTCGATCTGAACGACAACGCGCCGATCTTCGAGTCGGGACCGCACGCAACCGATATCATGGAGAACGCGACCGTTGGCACGTCCGTGCTTACCGTGACCGCCCAAGACTTGGACTACGGTGACAACGCCAAGATTGTCTACGCCGTTGCCGGCGGCGATGAAGACGGCGATTTTGGGGTGGCACCCAACGGCACCCTCTTCACGCGCCGTCCTCTCGACCGCGAACGGAAGCCACTTTACAACCTAGTGCTTAGTGCTACCGATAGCCCGCCACCGCCGATGCGGCCGTTGTCTTCTACGGTTCAGGTTGGTAACTCCCAGTTTTTGAAAAAAAAAAATGGTAATTATTTAAAAAGCGAACTTCCTCACCGATTTCAATGAGCTTGAAATATATTGTTAAGGACGTTATTCTGAACAACTTTTCTCTATACATGTTACCGCCGGTTAGCTTTAGTTTTCGAGTTATAAACAAAAAAAATTTCATAATTGAATACTAATTTTCCAACATTGTGTCGATTTCTTAAGTTAATATGTTCTTTGTATGACACGTGTAGGCAGGGGGGGCTTTGCCCCTTCCCCCTGCTCTCCCCGTCAAGAAAAAATGAAGAATTTAATTAACGAATACGACTTCCGATTACATTCGCTTCATGTCGAAATTACCAAAAAAAGCGAAGCCCCTCCCCCTGCGGGGGGGCGTAGCCTCCCTGCCTAAACACTTACAACACAAAAAAATGTACATAAAATCGAAAAATAAGAGTTTATTTATAAAACTTTTTTTGTTATTAACTTTTTAATAAACAACGAGCGACGGCTAAAACTTTTTGATTGTTACTCAGGAAGGTGTCCTTGACAAAATATGTCAAGCTCATTTGGGTGACCTTTTGTACATATTTACCAAAACAAGTATTCAATTATGAAACTTCTTTTGTTCATAACTTAAAAACTAAAGCCGACCGGCGGCAACATGTATAGGGAAAAGTTGTTCAGAATAACGTTCTTAACAACATATTTCAAGCTCATTGAAATCGGTGAGGACGTCCGCTTTCTAAATAATTACCAAAAAAATAAATAAATAAATAAATAACGAGATCGTGTATATATTTATCCGCATAAATAACAAATAAGTTTTGTACACACATAATATAAAAACATTTGTATAACATTGCTCTATCTTTTTTTTAAACTGGAAAAAAATTGTGTAATTACCTAAATGGTTTGTTGCACTCTCTCCAAATACTTCTTGACAGGTGACAGTAACGGTGCTAGACGTAAATGACATGTCACCGGAGTTTATATCGCCCACAAAGATATCGATAATCGAGAACGCGCCGAGCAACACGGTGATAATGGCAATAAAGGCCGTTGACCGAGACGAAGGTCGAAACGGATACGTAGAGTATTCACTGGAGAACGACAGTCTGCCGTTTGCTTTGGGTTCGGTAGACGGACTACTGCGCGTGTCCGGCCCTTTGGACCGCGAGCAAAGATCCAACTACATGTTGGAGATTATTGCCAAGGACCGCGGCGAGCCGCCGAGATCATCATTGACCACCGTCGTCGTCACGGTGCTCGACGAGAATGACAATTCCCCGGTGTTCGATCCCAGACAATATACCAACACCGTTGCCGAGAACGCTAGCATCGGCGCAAGCGTGTTGCAGGTGTCGGCAATGGATCGTGACGAGGGCGCGAACGGCAGAGTGCAATACAGCATCGCGATGGGGGACGACAATCGTGACTTCACGATTTCGGAAGACAGCGGCGTGATTCGAGTGGCAAAGAATCTGAATTTTGAACGCAAATCCCGATACCATCTGACAATTCGCGGAGAGGATTGCGCGGCCGAAGTCGGCGAAGCGCCGCGCGTCGACACGGCCCAAGTTACCATCACCGTGTTGGACATTAACGACAACGCGCCGGTCTTTCTTGACTCGCCCTATCTGGCGCACGTTATGGAGAATATGGTGCCTCCGAGTGACGGTTTTATAATACAGGTAATTGCAACAAATAGGTAATATAATAAATCGATTAATTTTGAAACTCAAGAGAATAGAATAAAGTTCTATTTGATTCAACACCATAGACGTAGAATATATAGACTGCGCGTTTTGGCTGAAAGGATGTCTTCATGATTGACAAAAACAACATACTTTGAACAGTAACTCTTCTCTCTGTCCATCAATGTCTGTGGTGGGATCAGGGCCTACTGTTTCATACCGCCTGTAACCTGCCATCACTCCTTAATCTCTTTCATTCCTCTTTACCCCCACTATTTTTCTATCCCCACTTTTCCACTACTATTCTATCAATCAGCGAAGACTTCTTTTTCCTCCACTACTTCGCTAGACAAAGATGAGGCTACTGTTCAACACCAGCTGTCTCTCTCAATGTTGAAGACATTTTCTTAACATGGCAGAGATAGGGAACGCGCAGTCTATATATTCTACGTCTATGTTCAACACCAACTGTATATCCAACTACATATTACATATATGGGTTGAATGTTTGTAGTTACGCTGTGAATATTTTTGGACAATTGTCGGTGTTTTACACCACTTTCGTTATTATTATCTGTTAATTTAAACGAATATACAACTTCGTGGCTTGGCGTCAGGAACCCAATCCACGGTTTTAAACCTGTTATCAAAAAGACGTAGAATAGCGTATGGACTAGCTTTATAGGTCCACTGAGCCAAAAGAGCACCAAACCAACCTGTATATCCATACTGTTTTTAATTAGATATATTTTATAACAATTCTAACGCAAAAGTTGAAACTTTTTTTGTGTTTATCAAAGGTAAAAGCGTACGATGCGGACACGCCGCCTTACAACGATCAGGTGAGATATTTTCTCAAGGAAGGCGACACGGATTTGTTTCGCATAAATGCGAGCACCGGCGACATATCGCTTCTTCGGTCGTTGGACAGAGAACTGGTGCCCGAGTATACGCTCACTCTAGTGGCCATGGATACCGGTGAGTTGTTAATTATTGTCGAAAAGATCGAAATTTAAATTAGAAGTTTTTCTTTCTCAATGATACAAGAGATCAAACAAAACAAACAAAAAACACATTGCAACGGATATTCGATATCCTCGAGGATCCTCGCGCGCGAACGAACTGCTAAATAGGCGTGTACCCGTGCAATCTACTGTACAATGGTCCGCTTTGAAAGGGTAGCTCTCCGTATTCTCCGGCGAGGATTATTTTTATAGTCACCTCGCTGTGTGTGACCGGTCTGTAAAACTGGTTGCGAATTAGTGTGAACAAAGAACTTAATTATGTGCTCAGATTGGCACGTCGGCACAGGCGAGAGAGCGACAACGCGACCGAACACGCAAAAAACAACACAACTAAAATTGTTGTGCGGTATAAATACACGACTTGTTCGATGAGATTTTTCAAACGATAAGCATTTTTTTTTCTTTTTTCTCTCTGTCAGAGAAGATAGACTTATATATTTGTTGTACAATTGCAAAAAATAATTTTTTATAGTATATAAATATAAGGACATGAAGAGCCGTTCGCAGGATGTTGTGCGTGAATGTGCTTAAATATATATATATATATATGTAATAGCTGGTCTTAATTTACAAAGTGATACTGAATCACTTGATAATGCATATTTACCGTTAGTTTAAAGATTCAGTAAACTATAAATAGTTAGTTGCTCCTTTCAATTTCATTAGATGTCTCTGGTTTCTCTCTATCTTTTTTTGTTTTTATATTTTCGACCTACTGTCATTTGCGTTACAACTGTAAGTGGAACAACATGTTCCTTTTCTCTTTCTCTTGTCATCATTGTCGTTGACGCACACTTTTTGTGAATTTAATATCTTTCTTGTTTTAATTGTGAGTAATTTGATTTTTATATTTATAATTTTTCTTCTTTGTTTTTATTTATTTTGCGTTTGATCTTACACAGGATTTACTTTCTGAAGATGATCCCAACCTGGAATCGAAACGTCAATGTTTTTTGAACATAAGGATTTTATAATAAATATACACACTGTTAACTGTGTCCAAGCTCTCATTGGCCATTTCACTTCCTAAGTTTTTTTTGAAAAAAATCGGAGCCTTTCTTATTTTTATTTTATTTTTATTTTATATATATGTATACACACATATATATTTCGAAATAATTTTTTTTCCCTCCATATAGGATGCTGGATTTGCATCACATATATATGAAAAGGACCCCGTATATCACCCTAACTAATTTTAAAATATTGCGAAAAAAACTCCTCAACCAGGAGTCGAACCTGGAATCTCCGGCTTTCCGGGCCGTCGCCTTCCCTGTTAGAGAAAAAGAAAATATGGAGGAAAAAAATTATTTCGAAATATATATGTGTATACATATATATATATATATATTTAAGCACATTCACGCACAAAATTCTGCGAACGGCTCTTCATGTTCTTATATTCATATACTATAAAAGACTTATTGAGCCTGAGAGTAATCTCTATTTATCACCAATTATTAAAAATAATTTTGTCTACATTTTAATTCTTTTTTATACATATGTATATAGACATTGTATAAGTAAACGATTATATTTAGAAATCAGCTGTATCAACTAATTCGCTAGTAAAATTATTCATATTTTTACTTGATGTGTCTCAGTTTGAACATTCATGAAATCAGTCGCTAATTCTTTATGCAAACCGTATCATCGGTCGTTCATCAAGCGACAATCTCCTAACCTAAAATGTCATCCCGCCGCCGGTAGCGGGATGCGCCGCACAGCACATAGACGAGAGCGATAGACGATGTACGCGGTGGGTTTAAGTAATGAGCGGTAATATACAAATTGGTTATAAATTTGTGGGTTGTTCGATGAGATTCTTTAAGCGATGGGAGCACACACACACGCACACACAGTTCCTCCCTCTTAAACCTTTTTTTTCTTTTCTTCTTCGTAGAAGCCGGTAGTCCTCCCTCGATCTTTCCTTGGTCTTCATCCCTCTCTTTTCTCTTCCTCTCGTCCTGCCTCCGATCGCGGTGGCTCGATGGCCCAATCGGTCCCCGGCAAGGTAGACAAGCCCAGAGTTATGACGCGCGATTATGATAATCGGTCTCGAATGCCTTCCTCTCTCTACCTCGGCACTGCACTATTCTCTTCCCCACTTCCAGTTTGACCACGGGTTTTACTCCATCTCTTCTCTCTCTCTCTCTCTTTCTCTCCTTCCCTCGTCTGCCACTTCGTTTCTCTTTACCTCACCTCGTCCACTGTCGTTCTCCCTCCTTTGCCTCACCAACCACGCGGTTCCGTGTACATTTTGGGACCTCATCTCCCTACTCCGTCAGCTCTCGACAGAGAGCTACAGAGCTATGCGTCTTTTGAGTACCGAGCGCTCTTGCACGGTATTCTGTTTTATTCATATAACGCGGCCTGTTATGCGCGCGTACTTTCTCACGTTCAGATGTACGTATTTTTGTTTCGAAACGCACAATCACAGAAAAAAAGCAGGAGAGAGTCTTACGACCCTTTCCATTTATATCTAGCAGACATAAACAGGATATTCCGTTTTTTTATTGAGAACTATATAACTCAACAATTGATTTTATTTTAAACAAATGAATGAAATAAATTCGGTTGTAGAAGCCGTTTGCAGGATGTTATGCAGAGAATGTGCTTGAAAAAATATATATATGTATACACATATACACGTCGAAATAATTTTTTTCCTCCATATAGGATGCTGGATTTGCATCACGTATATATGAAGGACCCCGAATACCCCTCTAAATAATTTTAAAATATTGCGAAAAAATGATTTTATTTTATTTTATATTACTGTTCATTAAAGTAGATTTTAAAACAAAGCTCTCATTTTTTTATGTGTGTATCTAGCATCGGGTTGGTCGAAAAGACTTTTCGTTTTTTTTTTTTTTTTTTTTTATTAAAATTTGTATTTTGTAAAATACAAAAAAAGATCAACTCAATATGTGGTCTTATCACAATGTTTGTCTATAATATATGATAAATATGGTTCTATTCTCTGTGTGTATTTTTTTTTCTATTCCTTCTCTCTTCTTCTTTTACCCTCTATTCCTTTCTTTCTCTTGTTCTCTTCGACGAGAGAGCTCTTCGCGTGATTGAACGGTGTACATACGTCCGTGCAGGCGCGTGGCCCTGGGCTACGCCAACGCTCGCCATATATATACATATATATATAGCGTACATACTCGGTGTATACTTGGCGCGCAATCAACAAAATCAGGCTCTTCCGTAGAGAATAATGACACGTTTTAGGGGGCGTAATTAAGCCGCGGTGAGACTTTTCTCTACGCGCACCGACATCGTTACTTCTCCCATTGCAATGCGTAAATCACACAAGCGGTAGCACAATGGCACCGCTAAGGATGCACGAGCGTCCAAGTTTGTATTCGTTTCTAGGATCGCTTATTATTTCCCGCTCCTTGCGCGCGCGACCTGGAAAAGTCCGTTTTCCCGTAACTCCAATTAGCTCGACATACCGCCCTTTGATCCCGAACACGGATCTCGAAAACAAGATGTCGGTCACGAAGTTATTTTTGCGAAAGAGAACTTTACACGTGCGTTCCCAAAAATAAGACGTTATGTCCCTAATAGGCACATTTGTGAAAATATCGCACAAATATGACATCATGAGTGATGACGATTTCTTGCATTTCTTCATATGCAATCATATTTCTACATATTTTAAAAATAAGGAAATGCTGATACGGCAGTTTGAAGCAAACGCTGATGTTGAAGTGTGAAGGTGAGACATGTTTATTAAAGAATATATGTAGTCTGTATAAACGTTTCGACCCTTGATTTGGGTCTTTATCAATATAAATTAATGAGCAATAGATGGATATGCGTTTATAACTGAAGTTACCAAATCGCTTCTGTGAAGATGTGTCAGTTTTCTGTGTATTTGTGACACACATATTTATAAACGCATATCCATCTATTGCTCATTAATTTATATTGATAAAGACCCAAATCAAGAGTCGAAACGTTTATACAGACTACATATATTCTTTAATAAACATTTCTCACCTTCACACTTCAACATCAGTGTTTGCTTCAAACTGCCGTATCAGCATTTCCTTATTTTGAACGAACTTGGAGCTATTCATTATCTATTATTTTAAAAATCACATAGCTAAATTTCTTTTCTCAATTATTGGACAATTTCTTTGTGAAATTAATTTTCCAAATATACCGCTAAGATGATTTGCCATATCGTTATTCTTTTGCCGAAATAGTATTTTGGAAAGTAATTTTGCAAACAACTACAAATATTTCAGAAAAGATCAATGTTTTTGCATCTATTTCCTAAAATATGTATAATTGCAAATTACACTTTTAATGCAAGATTTTGTCACATAATTTTGTAAATGGTTTCCTATCAGGGATATAGAAACTCATATTGATTCTTTGTGAATTTGTACTTTTCAAAATTGTTTCGACCAAAACTAATTGCAAAAGTGCGCGAAGCGAAGATAATAGAAAAGATAATTTATTGCTGATTGTCAAAAGCACACTTTTGACAACGAACATACACAAGCGACTTCTAAATCACTTTACAATTGTTGAGCTAGACCGCATCTCGCCAGCAATAATATTTTTGTTAAAATTATGGTCTACCTTCCGTTTGGTCCGATTTAAACCGTCATAAATGTGAGCCGCGAGAGGTTGATCGTAAATTCAACGGAATAATCGCGCCTACTGACCCAACTACGCTCGCGCGACTACGTTACGATTCGTGAAATAGCAATAAAAAAGCGCAAAAAAACCCGGGCTTAGCGCGACAGCGCGATGCATCTCGGTGCGCGAATGGCGGACTTGGTCTTTATAGCTGGTCGGCAAACAACACGGTTTGAAAACTCGCATATGCATTTCTCTCTGCGTGTCCGCAGGCTCGCCACCTCTCACCGGATCGGGCATCGTCAGGATCGTCGTGCTAGACGTGAATGACCACAGTCCCGAGTTCGCCCGGCAGGAATACAAGGCCACCGTGGTGGAGAACATGCCCGCCGGAACATGGGTCACCAAGCCCCACGCTACCGACAAGGACGAAGGACTCAATGCAAAAATAAGGTAAACCTTTTTTCACTTATATATCTTAGGCCCAACTTAAGGTATTACCCTCACGTCCCTGAGGGCGCGGGGGAGCGGAGATAGTTCTATCTCACTTCAATTGAGGAAATGGCAACGTCGCTCTTTCTCATACTAATCACAAAATCGCTCGTTTTCTGTGTTATTTTAATTATTACTGAAAAACTGTACGGTACAAGCGTCTGATTTTTCACACATATTTTCTTTATAGTTTAAAGAAGCTGTAGTAATATTTTTAGCCAAATCTGAAAATTTGAACTCTAGATATTTAAGTAAATGCACGTGATTTCCTCGTTCTTCCTATCACTTCCATGTTAAATCGTGCGAAATTCGTTTTCGATTTTGTCAAACCTGTACGGTACAGGCGTCTGATTTTTCACACATATTTTCTTTATAGTTTAAAGAAGCTGTAGTAATATTTTTAGCCAAATCTGAAAATTTGAACT